TGACTTCTACAGACCAACCCAGGAGATACAGGGATGAAAGCAGGCTTGGGATCTTGTCCCTGTGGTGCATGTGTGCTTGCCAGAGCCAAACACAGCAGAGTACAGGGCTCTTCCTTTTGGGGAGAAATGCCTATTTAACAGGAGCGAATGGTCACAGCCCTACAGCCTGACACAGCAAGAAGCTCTCCAAGTTTCCCCAAACTGTCCCCCACTGCAGCTTAACTCCGACTTGGAGGAACAAACTAATCTCTGCACTCTCCAAGTCCCTGAGCTCTCAGAGGACACTGCAGGCAGAGTACATGGGATAGAGAGCAAGACAGAGAGGTCTCAAACACGGGTGCTTAAGCACTACCAACAGAAAACAACCTTGGCCCAACCACCACCACCCAGTGCTAACATTTCATCATTACTGATGAGCCACCACGCCAAATACATTAAGAAAATTCATGTAAGAGAAAAGCTACAGCAGGTCCTGGCATCCACCGCTCGCTCCCAGAAGTTTTATCCTATAGTTCAACCTCAGTTCTGACTTGTCCAGCTTGTGTTTATGGTCAGCGTATGGCAATGTCCTTTCTGCAACCTGAAACCTAACCCAGACTCCCACATATCAAAGGAGAGCATCAGCTGGAGGAATGCAGCAAGGCTGCGACTCAGCTCCTCCCTCGGCCTTCGCCTTCGGACCACCAACCTTGAGAAGCAGGCTGAAGCAGAAGACCTGGCTCCTAAACGGCGGCAGGTTTGTGGCTAATGGCAAAGCATCTTCCCTTAAGGTCACTTAGTTTCCAACCCTCAGATAAATCTGGTGACCTATCCCTCCTCCTGTTTTTATGAAAGGGAAAATATTGCTTCCCAGAAGCTGTCAGGCCATCAGCAGTTAGGATAAACAAAAGGACGGATATTCTTGTCTAGTCTCAACCTTCAAATTATTCAGGGATTTTGCAATCAACTTTTTTTAGACAGACTCAAGCGCTCCTGTGATTGATTAGTCACCTACGCTTTTTGTTTATTTGTAATTTATTCAGCAGAAAACAGGAATAAAGAAGTTTCCTAGGAAGCAGGGGGAGTAGGAAGGTTTCAGATCTTGAAACAGATGCATCTAGCTGCGAGTCACCAGCATCCTAGGAAATATCACTCCCTCTAACATTTATTTGAAATCCAAGATGAAATCATCCCTACCCAACAGCAGAGCCCTTCTGGTGCCCAAACGTTTCGCAGTTCTACTCGTAATTTGGCTTCAGCGATCTTAAACGGAGCCGTAGCAGATGCTGGGTCTGGGAATACCTCTGCTACTTTCCCTCCCTCATCCGAGAGGAGGACAGCCGTTTTATTTTGTTAGTATCGCTTTCCAATTGCTAGAGTGGCTGTACCTGACCTCAGCAGTGGTACTGGGGACTGAATCACCGTGTCTATGTTCCAGAGTCAACCCTGACATGCTATTCCACACCTCATCAGTGAATGCCCCATTTTTGTTTTGTCTGTGCTGCAAAAATAATCAGATTTTCATTACCAAGTTAAATCCCTACAGAGTGAGGTGAAAGCAAAGTTTCCAAAGAGACATTTTGGCTAACAGCTGCCTGGGGAACACCAATTCCCTTTAAAACTTCTCTACTGTGTCAAAAATAGCATGCCAAAGATTTCCTCCATAAAAAAAATACATTAATCTTACCCTCTGTTCCTCCATAAAAGAACTGGGACAAAGTTGTACCTGTTAAGAACTAGGACATTAACTGTTAAGCAACAAAGAACTGTCTAATCTTTGATAACCTCTGGCACAGAAAGCAATTTTAAGAAGCCTTACAGCAAACTCTGCGTAGATCAAAAGATTAAGTTACAAGTATAGGTATCCTGCCTACAAGATGGTTTAGACATTATTTGGTATTAAACAACTAACTGAAGACATTCTGTACCAGATTTTCACAATCTTCTGTCCAGTTGACCTCGGTTTTCCCCCAAAAGAGATGGAGCGAGCACCATCTACAGGGTTTCTGAGCACATGCCACCTCAAGCTCCCCGAGAGACACAGGGAAACTCCTCACCGTTGCTCTAAGCTTTAGTTCGAACTGAAATCACCACCCGCCAGCAACGACTGACTGCAACAGATCTCACACAAGGCGCGATCTAAAACTGTCAGAGACGTACGAATTGCTCCACAGGTTCTTCCGTCTGGAAGTTGACATTCCAACTAGTAGCATCAATGCCACCCAGGAGTAACGTTGCTTTGCTCCGTGCCATTTCGGAGTTGTGAAGGATAGAAACACAGTTCTTCTGTGCTGTCAACTTTATGATGCCAGAGCAGATTCCAAAAAGCAAAGGAGTTAAAGAACTTTCAAGGAAAGTTTCCTCAGAAGTCATTCCTAGGAACAAAGCAATTAATTTAAGTTTGGTCATCTAGAAACGTTTAACCCTAAATTGCCTGTATTGTTTCTGTAGGAGTCCCACCTCACCATTCATTTTGTTCAGGTCATAATGAACCACAATTCATTTTCCAGTGCCTGGGGACCTGGTACATCAGAAAAGTTGGGTCCATCCCTGCTAATAGATAACTAAAAAACTTCACAAGTCCAAAATTCCTTCTCATTCGTGCTTAAAATTATCTACAAATTGTGGCGGTGGGGGTTTGGGTGGTTTTTTTTTCCTATACTCATTTCTCTGCTAATTCAACTTCTGATACAATCCATGCCTGAGGTCAGACCCCTACCATGCAGCATCAAAAACCTCATCATCTACAGGGAAGGGGCTTTAGAGAACATGCTCTTATCCTCAGCAAACATTGAATATTTGAATTCCAATGATGCCCAAGAGTGTTCTTTAAAAATAACTGGTGAAAAATTCCCAGAAGCTCCACCAAGGAAAACACAAGGCAAGCAATCATACAGCTGAGATGCAACAAAACCCAGGAAACCCCCAAATCCATCCACCATCCCCACAAACACCCAAAAACCCCACTCACCCACCATCCCTTCTGTTGGCATAAGGTGATCACTAACCTTTCATAGACTGATCCGACCAGAGTAAAAGCAAAATGACTTCACAAGGAGTAGGTGGGAGCAAATCACAAAAATACATCATTTGCTTGGAAACAAACTTGCTGGTTTTGGAACTTCTGCAGCACAAATGGTACCCTTGAGTCTGCGGTCAGAGACAAGAGGAATTCTCCACAGGAGCCTGACTTCCACCTCACTGTTGTTTCCAGCTTTTGACTCTGATTCAGAGGCTTGGATTTCCTGGAGGATTGTGTTCTGGAAAACCTGTCAGAGGCAGATTAATTGTTGGACCAATGGCAATTAAAGAAAAACACTGCAGCACCTGCTTTAACAGATGCTTCTTCAGAAATATTTTAATCCATGTTACATAAGATATTTTTCTAGATTTTTTTTTCTTTCATTCAGTGAGTCACACTCGAGCACATCAAGCTCCTCTCACCTTGATGTAAGCCTCATGAAATCCACACCTGACTTGAGCTCTTAAGTTCCAGACACGACTGCCTGAAAAAGACACGAATGGGTCGAAAAGCCTGAAGATCCAAAAGGATGTGTGGAAGAGGATGTGCTGGCATTTACTGATGAGCATGAGGAAAACACAACCTAAGCTGACAGAACTCCTGTGATTTTTTTTTGGTTTTAGGCTTCCAAAATTTCAGTGATAATGCTGTAAATATGTAACAGAACAGTGCCTCCTCAAGTCTGAATAGCTCCAGTGGCTCTGCTTTTATTCAGTAATATTCAGGAAAAAAAAAAAAAATCAGGCAAACACTAGAGCACCTGCTAAGATCTTGCCAGTCTTTTTTTTTTTTCTGTTATCCTCACAGTGCTACATTATTTCTAAGACAAGAAAGTAAGAGAGTCATCCATTTTGGGGTTCTTCACATGAAATGCTCCTTCTTATACATGTCATTAACCACAGGTAGGTTGAGGAAAAGCTCAAATTAGATTAACAACTCACCAGGTAAAACCTCTCTCATCAGAGAGAAAGTATGACAGTAGAAGATTAATTTTCCGGATAGATGGCACACAAACATTAAGTGGGATATATTCTAGGATATGCAAGCAAAAAGAAGGAGGAAGACATGGCAATCAATATGGTTAAATAGAAAAGGTAAGAAATTGATCAGAAAAGCTAAAGACATCAAAGAAAAATATCTACTGAACAAGGTGAATGACAAGTTTATAGACTAGAAACAGAACCAATGAGATTAAAACAAGTCACTTGTACTGAAAAGGAAATATACACAGTAAATTTTTCTTTTCTGAACTTAAAAGGAAACAAAATGATGTGCTCACATCACACGCAGGTGACTAAAACCAATCAGCTGGCATTCATGGATGACATTAAACACTACCTACTATTTAGAGCATTTTCAAAATCAACAGGCCCAAATAAACACCACGATGTCCTAAGAGAACTGCATGAGGAGATCTCACATTAGAATAGATCAGGAATATTTCATTTATTCCCTTTCTAAATCAAAGATTTATTGAAACTGAATTCCAGCACACTGGAAATAGACACCTGTAGACTTAGACTACACAAAGAGAACATGCAGGAAGACCCAGGTAATTAAGCACTTGGCAATGATTGCACAGGCTGACCACATCAGACTGCTCAGAAACCCCCTTCTAGCAGACAACCCCAACAAAGCCATATGACCAACTGCCCACAGCTCCAGGTACGGCATTATATCAAGCCGTGGCATCAAATTCCAGTCAGAAATAAGGGATGTTCTGTGTAGTTGACTGAGAAAATTATCACAGATAGGGAAAAGATTCTGCAGAGGCTCCCAGCTAAGGCTTAAGTTATTTATCTCAATGTGGGAATAGAAAGGTAGTTTAAGGGTCTGCAAGAAAAAAATCAAATTAGACAATCCAAGAATCTCAGTGAGCACTAAAATCTGAATTAGAGAAGCAGGAGACTTTAACACTCCCAGATTAAAGTAAATATGCACAACTTATGCTTGCAGAAAATTATACTGAAAGTCCTCAAAAATAAACTGAAAACATTGTATAAAAATAAATTTATTACGCAACAGGGGAAACAGGGATTTATTCACTATCTTCAGCATTCACAGAGATCTCTTCCTTGATGAAGGAAAGAGAAATGAGTATCATCAGGAACGATGAAAGAATGCAGACGACAGTAAGATCAAAAACTTTGGGAAGAAACTCCTTCTGTAAGTTGAACATCGTAAGTGGGCACTGAAATATTTTACATTACTATTAACTTACATACATCATCTCCCACATTTTATAATAAAACTATTGTTTCACATCCCGTGCCAATATTTCCCTCTCTTTCAGAGTCTTTTTTGCTGTGCTAAGCTTGAGTGTTTGAAATCTGCATTCCTGATGAACTGTTCTTGAGTTCTGCTGGAACCAAGAGTGCATATATCCGTTGTAGAAGTCAACTGCTGTAAGTTTCTTCCTTAACACGACTGTTTTGATTCCAACCCAGCCTTCCTAAAAATAAAACCCAAAAAAAACAGCAGTAAGCTTCTTCCACGTTTTAAAACCATGATCTTTAGCTCTCACTAGGATGGCTTACAGAACACATTTTACTTAATGTCATCATGTTTACACTACAAGTCAAATTCTCACTTGCAAGTGAAAAGCCTGTTAGTGGAAATTAAGTTCTTCAAGGTATCAAATAAAAAGATTGATGTTAATCTAAACTAGTTCAGTGAATAACAAAGGACAATTAAGATAAAAGTCATGTAACACACAAATACTAAAAACTTCATCTTTAGGAAAATTAATATAAAACAAATGGGGAAAACCTACCTTGCAACGTGCTATCAGTGTTTGAGACACTTTATGGTATAGTAGTGAACCAGGAACAGCTCCACGGTCATTTAATATTTGACCTAAAAGCAAAGCAAGATTCTCCTGCATTTTTATGCCAACAAGTACAAAAAAAATGGAAACACGTCTCTGAAGCATGCTAATTATTTTGAGTCACCACTTTGCTCAAAAATATTTTATTGTGTTCTGTGTTTTATTATACCCAAACGAGTAGGGGAGAATGAGAACCATCTCTGGCACTGCTCCCTATCTGATCCATAAACAGCCATCGAGCCCTGGGTGCTTTGGCACAGACTACTATAGAAATGGTTTAAGAAACAGCACACAGGGACAGCTTTCCTCTTGAGAGATCCACAGACAACAGCATTAGAAGATCTCTTAACTAATTAGAGGATTAAAATCCTCCAGTCTCAGGATTCACAGGACTATACCTGCCGCTTGCTCAACATCATCACAAAGC